CTTTGGCTGTCTGCAGCCTAATACTGAGCCATATTGCTATGGCCGGTCTTTTCTCTGCCAGTTTAGAGGGCTGCCCCATATAAAGCGGGGGTCCCCTCCTTGCTCATCACCCCTACAGGGCAACTTTCGACCCTTTCCAGGGTCCCTCAGTGAAGGAAAATCAGACGTTGAACACGGAGTCGCCTTCCAAACAGCCGCAGTGGCTGTGTCGGCAAATCGGAAATCTTCATCCACCTTTTAAAGGACAACTATAATAGCACAGTTATAACTTTTGCCTTGCAACTCAAAGTATTCAAAATCTTACAGAATTTTTATTCTTCTCTTTCCAAGCTTCCTACTCTTCTCTGTCCTTTATGCTTTCTTTAGTGAAGCTTTAAAAAAAGAAAGCCATACTTCCTGCTTGCATGTAAGGATTCCCATGTTTAACATTTTGTAATGCAATCATTTTATTTTCTTTCATCATTTTTGTTACAGTAGAATAAATGAGTTATAAAAAGTTATAGAAATTGAGATCATAAAATAAGAAATGCAGAATGGATGCCCTGCAAACAGAAATCCCAGCATTCATTATTCATTCAATTAAAGCATAAAAATATGGTTGCTCCATCTTTTAATGTGCATACCATTAATTATTTCCCTTCAAAGCTGCCTATAAAATTGTAGTTCCACTTCCTATTATATAACCAATGTGTTTCAAACAACCTGAAATTATAGAACTAACCAGACAAGTTATTGTCCCAGGCAAAGCTACCTTATTTTTAGCATCAGAATTGCAGACCTTTTCATTGAACATCAGTTTCTTAGAAAATTTGGTGATCTGTGTGTACCTGTATCATCTCACACGTAGGAAGTATATTTGTACACCCATTTGCACCTAACTTCCAGAGTCTTGGTTCTTGGGCTGTGCCCTAAGGCCTTCTTCCACCCTTCCTGCTTTTCATGGACTTACTCAAACCCTGACATTATCTTCTTTGACTGCAGCACAGAAATCTGTGTCTTCCCAAGAAATACAGCACATAGGTGAGTGACAGTCAAGATAGCATTTCCAGGCCTGATTTTATCAACTTGCCATATGAAATTGATGAACTGCCAGCTGTACCTTCTTTACATAGCTACAGTTATATCACTAATTAAACACCATTTCAAATGAGCTTTACAGTAGCAAAAGTGCGCAATTCACTTTTCATCCTGTCTTGCCTAAATATTAATATCCTGCTAAGGGAAATAATTAAGGAATCTCCTACTGTTGCAGAAAAACGTGTCCATTAATTTCTCCTATAATAATCCTTGTACTAATTTTCCTCTATTCTCTGGCTACTTGTTGGGTCCTAGCATCCTGTCTTTTCTCCTCCAAAAGAACATCCATCCCAAAAACCCATTCAGGATAAATTAATTCATCTCTTTGTAGATGTTTCATTACCTAACTAGGAAACCTTATGTTACTTGTTCAGGTAATGAAATATCTCCAAGCAAGCAACTAAGCTCAACAGGCACTACAGACTCCATACAGTACAGATTCCCAGATATCCTGACTACCCTAAGCAGTCCCTGTCTTAGAAATATAAAACCAACAGTGACTGGAGAACACTGTGTTAAAAAAACAGCACGCATTTGTCTAATCAGTATATTTAGTTAATTGCATATAAAACATACAATACACAGAGTCCCCCCGAATGCATATAAAACAATGTATATTGGGAAATCATATATCCAGAATGTATATAACTATGGCATTTTGGTATTTGACTTTTAAACTATTTTAAAACTGTCTGTTAAAGTTGGAATTGAATATGCATACATTGACACAGATGGAAATCTGCACATTCCTAGCTGACTAGAGTCAGCAGCTATTCTATGACAGTATAATACGATAAACATCTGATCATTTGCTGAAATCTTTACTATCGTTAATTAAATCCAAATGTGTATAAATTTGACCAGACAAGCTCATGGAGAACTACTGTCATCACACAGACTGTATTCTTCTCCCAAGATTAACTTTCATGAAAAAAAGTTGTCCCACTCCCCCAAAACAGATGGTCCTCAGCTTATGATCACAATTGGGACCAGAATTTCCATTGCTAAGCAAGATGGTTGTTAAATGAGTCACACTCAATTTTACGAACTTGACTTTTTTCCCACGGTTGTTAAGTGAATCGCTGCAGTTTTTCAGTAAGTCACACTGTCATTAAGTGAATCCAGTTTCCACCATTGACTTTCCTTATCAGAAACCAGCTGATCTGGGAAAATTGCAAATGGCAATCCCATGACCCCAGGATGCTGCCAAAGTCATAAATACGTGCCAGTTGCCTGAATTTGGATCTTGGGATTGAGGGGATGCTGCAACTCTCATAATTGTGAAGACTGGTCATAAGTCACTGGTTTTAGTACTATTGTAATTTTAAATGGTCGCTGAACAAATAGTGTAAGTCAAGGACTACCTGTACCCTATTTCTGTTGTCAGCAAACCCCATTTCTACCACCACTACTCAATAGGTTTTGTAGATATTTTCAAAGAAAAAAGGAGACAAATTGCATATTGATATTTAAAACTATTTTCCTAGGGTTCCTTTAATTAAACAGCAAGCAGCCATAGACTGGAGGTAGTATATACTGTAATCAGGCAGGTCTATCAATCTCTGTGAAGACGTTGGAAATACAAGAGAGAAAGATATTAAAAGATAGATATATCTTTCATAAAACTAGAGAACTTCTAGAAATGGACTTAAGTTAAATAACTGCTCTGTCTGCAGATAATATCAGTCCAGAATTATCAACTTAAACCAGATAAAATATTTTAAAATTTTAAGATACCTATCCCATCCTACAATAACTTGTTCACCTTCCAATCTTTTCCCAACCTGTCAGCATTCATTGGCCTTCTAAATGAAGCTGGCAGTTTAGTTTCTTGGGGAAAAAATAGTTTAGGAAAGGTGTAATTTACTTATCTAATTTGATATCATATTTTCTCATCAATCATTTATTTTATATAGTTAAATGGAGAGGCTACTACATCTCTCCTGGCTAGAATTGAAAAGGAAATTAGGAACATGTCTGAATGAAGGCATTATTATTTTTCTGTGCTAATGTTTTCTTTTATTAGGAATTTAGAGAACTGATGTATATTGTGGTGAAAAGGTGGACTACCTATTACATTTAATAAATTTATTTTTTTAAAAAAAATGTCTGATTTGATTGTGAAAATCAGAATACTGCAACAGAAGTTTTTAGATAGTAGAAAATTATATAAAATGGTGTGTACCCTAATTTATATATATGATGGAACTGATTCAAAATAATTGCTCATGACTGACTTGGTTTCTAAACAGGAATTAGACCAATATCAGTAGGAATAAAAATACCAGCAAAGAATTAAAGATCTGCCAACATATCAAAATTATCCTAGGATTGTAATTTTTAAGAATTAATTTACTTTAAATTCATAAAAAGTAAAATATATGCATGTAGGAGTGTGTGTGTGAATCACAGCTTTTCAGTTTTACAGTTACATATACAATTATACACACATTTTTTAAAAATGCATTGCTTTTTCTATTTTGCACTATAAAAGTGTTCAATTTTCTTTCAGTTAATTCTATATAAGGATTTTAAGTGTAATTCATCAAAGGGGATTTATTGGAATTGCCCAGTTGTCTCTCCCAATAATTACTCACAAATTTAAATTGCCCTTCTCAGTTCTCTTGCTTTTTAAGATCTCAGTTACAGTAGATTTAAATTATAAGTTTTGCTATCTCTGTGTTCCTGTCGTATTTCAATATGTTTCTATCCAACTATTAGTTAGATACATTTTTAAAAGACTATATTCCTTTTGAAACGTGAAAAGCCAAGAAAAAATGATAAAAGACTTATTTGAAAGACTAGAAACTTTATGTGAACTTTTTGCTGAAAGAAAAAAAAGACTGAATTGATGATATTAGAACTAAAAACAGTTAAAGAGAGAGAGGAAACAGTGAGACCGCAACTACTGGATAGAAAGAAGGACAGAAGTTATAATTTATATATATATATTACTTTTCTTTTTAAAAAATTCTCTCTTATTTTTCCTTTTTTATGCTTTTATTGTGTTCAAAAACTCTAAGAAAAAAAGAAAAAGTCAAGTTGAATAGTGAACTGAATGAACAGAGCTAAATTTTTATTTGCAGGCAAAAAGGTGTGCCGCTTCATATTTAAATGGCAAAACTTTGAAATGCAACAGGCACCAACTTCCTTTAATGCTGTCACAAGGTTTTGAATGATGCAGACAGCCGCCAAGAAATAAACAGGGTGCAATCTCACAAAATGTTAGCTACATCTTATAAGTTGTTTTTTAAAAAATAATAAATAATCTGCAGGGTTCCAAAATTTCATCTTGTTGATAGTTTCAAAGACATCTAGATTTTTTTAAAATAAAAAATAAAAAAAGGAAACAAGCAGGATTAATGAATCAGTATGAAACCAAAACCACGGAAACAAGATTAATGAATTAAAACACAACTTAATGTGCTGAAATCCAAACAAACAGCCAGATTTTCTCCCCAAACCTGCTACTTAAGACTGTGAGGCAATTAGCATTCTCCCATTTTCTTTCTTTTTTTTTTCTGACACAGGGGCAATTTTTGCAAGGACACCTTGTATAGGTCTTCAACTTTCTTGAATACTTTTAAAACAATACATCAGCAACAAGGAGTTGATTGATGTTCTTAAGAAGTTTGCTTTGTCCATAAAGTTTAAATGGATTTTCAGTCATTCCTTTCAATGCCCAACCAATTTTATAATATTCAAACCCACCCAGTAATAGATTAGTATCTTCTTGTAGAGAAAGAGATCCCCTCTATTTATCAGAACACCCAGAAACTATTCCAAGTTTGAAATAGAGCCAACTTTCATCATTTCAAAAAATTCAGATTGACTGAAAGATTAGAGAGAATGTACCTACTTGTTATGATTTCTCAGCAGAGAAATCAAAAAAATATAGACAGCAATGACAGTCTCTTTCTTACCTTCTCCTCTGTAGTTTCCATTCTTGTCAAGTAGTCTTTTCACAAGCGCAAGAAACAATTCGTTAACAGACAGACCACACACAAATCTGTTGCTCTTCCTTGGCACATCCCAAAAGACAAGAATCATATATGCACATTCCAGGCTCCACCCAGTGTGACTTCTGGATAAGAAAAGAAGAAAGGACTGTGGTTTTTTTCTAGCCCAAGAAATAGCTGCAGTTAAACTTCACCACCATAAACCCAGATGAAGTAACTAACCATTATCTGTTCTGAATCCTGAACCAATGCATTCATTCCAGTACAAACAGTTCCTGATTTTTCTCTCCTTCTCTTCCCACTACACACACAAACAGTAGCACTATTTTCTTGTTATAATTACCCATTTTTCAGGTATGATGTGATAAACCAGGGGTCCCCAACCCACAGGCCATAGTCTACAACTGGGCCAGGGCCTATTCGCAACTGGGCTGCATGAGCAGCAGGCCGGCACACACATACACATACACACAAAAACACGCAGCTCAACTTGCACAAGTGGAGCTGTGCATGCATGCGCATGCGCGCCGGCCCACCACTCATGCAAGTCAAATTGTATGCATCCATGTGTGCCAGCCCACCACTTACATGGCTGGTTCCCCTCTCCATCACACCATCAAGCCACAAAGATTGGGGACTGCTACAGTAGACTATAGCCTGTAACTGTTAATATCATGATCTATGGTAAGGAAAAAAAAACAAGTCTCCAGTACAGAGTGAAATTGCATAACTGGCAATAAAACGTTGATACACAGAGTGTAAAAATCTGATCACCAGATGATAGGAGAAATTGGTTGGTTGGTTGGTTGGTTGGTTGGTTGGTTGGTTATGTGTCATCAAGTCAGTGTTTCCTCTTAACAATCATATACAAGTAGATAAACTTTCTCCCAGATGATATGTCCCAGGTCACTCCTTCAGGTTTTCTAATGGACACCTATCATGACTATAATGAAATCCATCCACCATGATGCTGATCATCCTTTATAGTTACAAAAAGATCCTTCAAAGTAGAAAGGAGTTATTCTTTATAATGCTTCAACACGGCTACACCTCTTCCCGTGATCTTGGACCAAAGATAGCTGCATTATCCTAGGAACTGTCCTAAAATAGAACAGTATCATGAGGACACTCTAGTGACAATTGATATGACTGTCTCCCTGAGAAATGGTCTTCCTATTCTCCAAGACAGTGTAGCAATCTATTATATCTAATTACATTGCTGAATTTAAATTTTTATCTATATCTATCTTATTGTCTGAAACTTAATGGGGGAGTTTAAAATAGCAATGAGGCACTACCACTTTATTGGCATAAACCATCTAGCATACAAGCTATTGACATGCCTCATAACAAGATGTTTTTAGAAGTATTAATAATACCATTTCACTTGTTGAAATTAGGACAAAACGACATTTACAATTTGTTCCTTGTGTCCCTTATTTTTTTCTTTTTTACCTGAGAAAGCATTTTTGTTCCTATCTTACCCATTTCAAACCATCACCCTTTCCTGGACCTCCCAACCAGAAAACATTTATCCTTTTCTTTGTGTGGGATCTTTCCTATTATATTTCTCTTTGCTATACAACTATGGCACATAAAGCATGGTGCCAGCATCCAATTTCATTTACAACTCATTCTGCACATCTTGTGAACCTTCAACAAATTAGAAGGTGCAATGCAGTTACAAGAAAGAAAACAAGAACTCAGAAACTATATTAAGGAAAAGAAAAGCTAGAAAAGAGAGATTTCAATTTTCTCTTGCCAAATGACAAAAAGAGGAGCCATGAATTTTTAAAAATAAACTAAAATTTCATGAAGAGCTACTCAGGCAAGTTGGGAAACTTGGTCAGGAACATTCCTGAATGATGCCTTTATATGACTACTGACACGTTTAGTTGTCTGCATTTTTCATGGTGCAAATATCTCAACTAACTAGCCAGAAACCACAGAAGCTCTAAGAGGCAGCAGTTTCTACAGAATCACTATTCATAGAGTATTTGAAATGCATATGAGGAGCGGGTGTGATTCTTCAAAGATGTTGTGTAACCTGAAAGTGAGGGAGGTTGGATGTCTCTTAGATGAATCTCTTATTCAGGATGACTTTTATAACAATTTAGCTTACAGTTACAAAAGAACTTATGCTTGCAGATAACCATTAGATCAGCAAAGTTTATGTATGTAAATGTATGTAAATACATCCCCCTGTTTTAATTCAATAATATCTTACCTATTTTCATTTCAATGATTTTTTTAAAAAAAAATAATTTTAAGAATATTTTCCCTTCAAAATTATGGACCTCTGTTTAACAATGTATTATAAACAATGCATTGTAATTATGGAAACAAAGAGTCTACAATATTTTATTGATCAGTTATTGCATATATTTAAACCAATTTAGAGAAGAGAATACAAAGTAAAGGAAGCTCTATAGAGAAGTGCTTCACCTTTTCTTTGTTACAGGTAATTCTCAACCTATGACACAATTAGGACCAGAACTTCTATTACTAAGCTATGTGGTCATTAAATGAGTCACACCCGATTTTACAATCTCTTTTGCTGCAGTCATTAAGCATATCACTGTGTTGTTAAGCAAATCTAGTTTCTGCCCTTGACGTGGTCATTGGAAGCCCCCTGGAAAGGTCCTAAATGGTGATCACATGACCTCAGGATGCTACAACCATAGTAAATACATGCCAGTTGCCAAAAGCCTAAATTTTGATTCCATACTTGCGAAGATGTTGCAATGGTCGTAAGGATGAGAATCAGTTGTAAGTAGCCTTTTTCATCACTGTTGTAACTTTGAACATTAAAAAATAGTTGTAAGTCAAAAACTACCTGTAGTTCTATAAATTTATTTCCTTCCTTTCAGATTCTAAAGATGCTTCCATGCTGACTTCCCACTGGAAACCACTGGAGGAAGAAAAATAATATGATTGTTTCTCTGTGCACCCACCATTTGCCACTCTTTGGCCCAGAGATCCAGCTTTAGTTGCCCCGTTACTTTTGGAGACCTGAGGTATCAGTAACAGAGTAACAGAGTTGGAAGTGATCTTATAGGTCATCTAATCCACCCCCCCCCCCAAGCAGGAAACCCTACACTATTTCTGACAGATGGCAGTCCAGTCTTTTCTTGAAAGCTTACAGTGGTGAAGCTCCCACAACTTCTGAAGGCAAACTGTCAGAAGATTTCTCCTTGTTTCTAGGTTGAACCTCTCCTTAATTGGTTTCCATCCATTGTTCCTTGTCTGGCCTTCAGGTGCTTTGGAAAATAGGTTGACTCTCTCTCTTCTCTGTGACAGCCCCCTCAAATATTGGAACATTGCTATCATGTCATCCCTGGTCCTTCCCTTCACTAGACTAGCCATGCCCAGTTCCTGCAACTATTTTTCATATGTTTTACCTTCAGTCCCTAATCACCTTTTTTGCTTTTCTCTGCACTTTTTCTAGTTCTTGCAGGTTGACATAATTAATCTGAAGATGGTGGGACTAGACCTGATGAATATCTGCAAAACCAATTGCTGATGTGTACTTGTTCTAAAGCAGTGATAGCGGGATCTCCATCTTCAGCAAATGCATGTCAAGAATCATGGAGAATTAAAGACAATCGCAATACTATAAAAAAATACTTTTAGCCTTCTTGTGGAGTTGGTTTCCTCAGTTCATCTACTTAATGGGGCTAATAATAGCAGAGGTGTTACATGTTCCCACAGATGTATGCTGATTAGCACACTGACTACTGTCTTCTAGACTAATTGCAGCTTCTGAATAGACTTCAGAGATAGCCGCAAGAACACTGTATTGCAATAGTCTAACTGAAGAAGGCATGCGTTATGTAGCTAGGTCCCCCTGTACCAGGTCAAGTCATCATTGGCACACTAAGCTGAGTAAAGGCCCCTCTAGCTAAGACTTCCATTTGCTGCTTAAGCAGAAGCAATAAATCCAGAAGGATCCCCAAATTGCAAGGCTATTCGTCTGGGAGGTAGTTCTTCTCCACCCAGAGATAATGTTGGTGTTGATAGAGAACCTTGATATATGCCAACAGTACAAACAGAATTCTTCTCTATGTAGAGAAAATAATGTTCTTGGATGTACAGCATTCTTCAAGCCCATCCATGAAATAATTCCAGAAGCAGACATATTCTGACTTCATGGTATTCAGAGGCTTGCAATGACAGGAAACCAGGACTGGGCTACTGGGTAGAAGTGAAATAACCATTGGAACAGACCTTCTTTCATCTAGCTCTTTTTCCCTCAGAAAAGAAGTGTTCTGCTTTTTAATAAGAAATAATAAAACAGCTAAGAAGAAGTATCTTTGAGATCACAAAAGCTGGAACTAAATACAACAGAGTTTCCAGGGTGCCAAAGAAGAATAAGATTCAATAATTTCTTGGATCCGTTAAGAGGCATATAAATGATCCACATCATCAGAAATGTTCAACAATTATTAGCAAAAAAAAATAAACAATGAAGAAACAGTTAAAATTAAAGACTGGATCACACTCTACAATACATTTACCTAAGATGGCCATTGTTCCAGGAGGTTTACCTCAGCAGGAATGCAGTTTAATGATGTACAGCCACTCCCAGTATTTTCTGGCAAAACACTTAGCACTAATTGTTCTAATTTAATGAATAACAAGATTTCCAAGATTGGATGAAATTGAGTGGAGAGATAACTGGATTCTTTTAAGTAATATTAGCTAATGTATCATTAGAGCGATGCCTAGCTTCCTAAGTAGATTTGGATCAGCTTGTATAAGTATATATGTGTACATATTAACATGTGCGCTAAAGGTGAGTCAACACTGATTTCCATCCTGCCCTGCTATAATGAACAGAAGGAAGGTAGTTCTCAACTTGCAACTACAATTGGGACCAGAATTTTGGTCACTAGGTGAATTGAATTGAATCATCGCAACTGAAAGGCAGGTTAGTAAAAAAAAATGCTTGGGGAGGCGAGGGCATCTGGGTAGGGATGGGCACG